ATGTGAAGGATCTTCAAAACATTCACAGAAAAAAACAAACAACAACTGGACATGGATTTCAAAATGTTTCTGAAATGATATAAACTTATTTAATTCCATTTTCTGCAAATTTTTGAAGTGCTCCCATAGCATCTTTTTTTAAAGATTTATTTATTTATTTGAAAGTCAGAGTTACATAGAGAGAGGAGAGGCAGAGAGAGAGAGAGAGAGAGAGAGAGAGAGAGAGAAGAGAGATCTTCCATCTACTGGTTCACTCTCCAATTGGTCACAATGGCTGGAGTTGTGCCAATCTGAAGCCAGGAGCCAGGAGCTTCTTGTGGCTCTCCCATGCAGGTGCAGGGGCCCAAGGACTTGGGCCATCTTCTACTGCTTTCCCAGGCCATTGCAGAGAGCTGGATCGGAAGTGGAGCAGCTGGGTCTCGAACCAGCGCCCATATGGGATGTCAGCGCTTCAGGCCAGGGCATTGACCCACTGCACCACAGTGCCAGTCCCTTACATAGCATCTTTAAAAACACATATTTATTTACTTATTTGAGAGATAAAGTGACAGGCAGATGAAGTTAGAGACTGAGAGAGTGCTCCCATACACTGGCTCACTCTCCAAATGTCCACAAGAGTCCTGACCTAGGGGCTGGAGCTGGGAAATCATTTCAGTCATTCCAGAAATCCAACTACTTGAGCCATCATTTGTTTCCTCCGAAGGTGTGCATTATCAGGAAGCTAAAATCAGGAGCAGAGCTAATACTCAAACGCAGGCACTCAGACGCCAGCATTGTGTAGTCGGTAAAGCTGCCGCCTGCATTGCCATCATACCATATAGGCACTTGTTCGAGTACTGGCTGCTCCACTTCTGATCTGGCTCCCTGCTAATGGCCTGGGAAAAGCAGTGGAAGATGGCCCAAGTGCTTGGGCCCTGGCTACCACATGAGAGACCTGTAAGTAGTTCCTGGCTACAGGTTCCTGGCTCTGGCATAGTCCAGCCCTGGCCCTGTGGCCATCTGGGGAGTGAACCAGCAGATGGCTCTCTCTCTCTCTCTCTCCCTCTAAAATAAATAAATAAATATTTAAGAAAAAAATCAGGTACTGAGAAGTAGGATATGGACAGCCCACCTGTTGTACCTACTATGAGGCAAAATGCCTACTCCTGCCCCCCACCACAGTCTCTTAACACAAATAGCAGTGCCCGCCACTGATATAAGTCAGCATAGGAAGTAGACAGCGTCTCCCACCAAGGGTAGTTAGGAGTCCAATCATGCAGGTAAGAATAACTTTAATAAAACAGAAAAATGGAATGTGGACAATTGAACAACACCATCTCTGTTGTAGTGAGTTATACCTTTTGTTTAATATACAGTATTAGAAGCATATTTTCAGAAATGTTAATTCCTTTGCCCCAGGAGTATCTTCCTCAGATGTCTGGCATTCTAATGAACCATTTGGCCCACGAGAAATCCCTTTAAGTGCCAGGCATTCTGGTGGTCGTTCCATTCTTCCCTCTCTAGGTGAGTGCTCTAGCATCATTCTCAGGCTGGCCTGGGCTGCAGATGGGAAGGGGTCATCCACGGTGTTGGTGCTGAGGCTCTGCTTCCCTGACTTCTGCAGTGTCCACGTTATGTCTAAAAATATTGTTCTGCTCAAAGCTTTTGAGGTCACAGTATTTTATGTAAATGTTTCTTGAGCTCAAAAATCCAAGGGGGAATTTATGTTTGATTCTAGGGGCCCTCCTGATCCTTGTCCACAGTTGATATATTTGACAGATGGGACATGTGGCCTTTGCTCTTCCACTTTGCTGAGACATCACTGACTTGTGATAAAATACACCTATTTTAAGTATGCAATACCATGAATTTTCACATATGTATGTGCGAGTAAATAATACAAGGATAGCAGTCTATTCATTGCTGTAGCTTTGCAGTAAGTCCTGGGGATGGGTAAGGTCCATCTTCCAGCTTTGTTTTCAGTACTGTTGTGGTTATCCTGGGTCCTTTACTTTTCCAGATGCCCTTCAGGTTTGTTAGCATCCCAAAAGCAATTTTCTGGAGGTTTTAATTGTGATTGCATTGAATCAATACATCAGATTGGGGAGAGAGAACTGTAATCTTCAGAATATTGAATCTATCTATGAAAATGAAATATCTGCTAATTTATTTACATTTTAATTTCTTTCATCAAACTTTCACAGTTTTCATCAAATGTGTGTGTGTATATATATATATATATATAGTTAGATTTATACCTATGTTTCATGTTTTGATGTTATTGTGAAAGGTTTTGTAATTTTATTTAAAATTAAGTTGTTCATTACTCACATGTAGCAAAGCAATCAATTTCTGTGTATTAATATTGTGTCCTGTAACCTTTGCTAAAACTGCCTATTAGCTCTAGATTTTTATTAACAAATCATATAGCAGTATGCTTCCCTGGATGGGAAACAGTATCTAGTTTCTTATCATTAAAATAATCACAACTATGAGCTTTTTGTGGATTAAAAAAAAATGTTTACCTATGTTTACCTTTTTGGAAGGTATGAAGCCAATCTTATACACCTGGAATAAATCCCACTCAGTCCTGCTGTATATTTTTTCTATACTTTGTTGGATTCAGGTTTCAGATATATGTTGGGGGTTTTGCAATCTATGCTCATGAGAATCTTTTTATCAATGGAAATATAAAGCTTGAACTTTTATGGGAGAGCTATGCCTTCTTTCACCTGCCATAATTATTTTAAAACTAAAGCATGTTGTTTTTGTGTTACTAGGTTAGGTTTTTTTGTTTGTTTGTTTGTTTGCTTTTTGGCCAGGCAGAGTTAGACAGTGAGAGAGAGAGAGACAGAGAGAAAGGTCTTCCTTTTTCCGTTGGTTCATCCCCCCGAATGGCTGCTATGGCCGGAACTGCGCTGATCTGAAGCCAGGAGCCAGGTGCCTCTTCCTGGTCTCCCATGCAGGTGCAGGGACCCAGGCGCCTGGGCCATCCTCCACTGCACTCCTGGGCCACAGCAGAGAGCTGGACTGGAAGAGGAGCAACCGGGACAGAATCCGGGGCCCCAACTGGCACTAGAACCCTGGGGTGCCCGTGCCGCAGGCGGAGGATTAACCTAGTGAGCCACAGCGCCAGCCCAGTAATTTAGTTTTTTCTCTTAATTAAGCATTTTTAAAATTTTAATTAGTTTTGCACAGATTCAGTGTAGTTCATGGGTACAGTTCTAAAAATGATGATAGTCCCTTCTTCTGCCCTCCCTTCTTTCCCTCCCTCTCTCTCCCCCTTCCTCCCTCCCTCCACCCTCTCTTCCTTTCTTCGTTATTTTCTTCTCTATCTCTTTCTTTCATTTTTGAGATAATGTATCTTGAATTTACATTACAGTAAAAAGGGTTAGGGCTTCAACAACTATGAAATTTAACAAGTAAAAACCAAAAGACCTTAGTTTAGTGGGAATATTGGCAAGGACTACAAACAATAATCGAATGGAAAAATGACCATTTCACCCCATATGGTACATTTTAAAGTAATCTCTGATCTAAAAATTCTATTTGCTTTAGGCAGCTAATTCTCAGTGAGATTTGATATCTAAATTTTATTTATCAATGCAGCTAGCATTTCTGTTGCTCCTTATTATATCCTTAGTTTCTTTGCAAGGTATTGCAAATTCTATCTTTTGGATACTGGATGTTTGGTGTAAATAATATTGTGGTTTGTTCTGGGAGGCAGTTCAGTGAGTTGGACATAGTTTGAGCCTTTGCTAGCACAGCTTTGCTATGTGTGCCTGTGTTGGAGTCATTTCAGAAGATGGGAAGATTTGAGAAAAGTTTATGTACAACTGCACAGGTGATCTTATAGATGCAACTTGGGGTCCTGAGAGAGGCAGGGCTAATGAAACTTCTCCTAGCTCTACCTCAGAAAAATCTCATCAACACTCTGTCTTCCTTGCCTATAAAATAGGGATTGGAATTTCTGCTTCTTGGAGTTGTCATACGAGGAATACATGAGATAATACATGTGAAGCTTCTTGTAGTCTGTCTAGTACTTGAGAGATGTCTTAGAATTATGGACATTCTTATACTCAAAATCCTTAGCTAAAGCCTTAATCTTTGATTTGTGCTGGCTTCTCTTTAAATACCAATGGTATTCATTACTGTCTATTTCCATAATGGTGGTAGCAAGCCAAACCTGTCTCTGAACAGGAGTGTTACTCTGTTTTATGATTATTGAGAAAATCAGCCATTTTTTCACCTCTGATTCTACTGAGTATGCTACCTTGGTACTTTCATAAACTGAGTGTCCATATAAATGTGATCTCCGAAATACAGTACTATGAAACACATCCAAGAAAATTGTTCCATAGATTATGTTTTTGGAAAGGCCTCATTAAGCAAAGCCAAGGTTTTCAACATGCTCAGTGGCAATACGAGAGTGGAATGCTAGGTGTTATGCTATAGAACAGGGGCCAACAACAAGTCAGTAGTTTCAGGGCCATGGCGGGGCCTGCCACTCCTGTTCTACATGGCTTTGATTTCTGCTTCTCAGAAGATTGACACATGCAATGATTTCACATTACTGTGCATTAGCAAAGATTTGTTCTGACATTCTACCTGAGAGTCAATTGGAAATCCAATTTGAGGGCAATTCAATAAACTCCTCATTTCTCATCTCCTCCTTATTTATTAATAGTACTAATAGGATCGAAAGGCCTCTTTTGTTCATTGAAAATGCTGCCAACATGGCTATATGCCTTATGGATAAGATCTCACTGTTTTGTAGGTATAGTGCATTACGTCTAATATTCATCTAATGATATGCTAGCATCCAATTTAACAAAGAAGCAAAGAGTACCAGGGTTTTAAAAGCTGTTTATGGCCCAACAGCAAGTGGAGCCAGAATTCCAATACAGATGGCTCCTGCTTCAGATAGTTTCATTTACGATTTTTGGACTCTGTGATTATGCAAAAGTAACGTGGGTTCAGTAGAGACTGCTACAAAGTTTGAATTTTGTTTTTTTTCCCAGGCTAATGATGTAAGGTCTGATACTCTTTTCTGATGCTGGGCGGCAGCAGTGAACATAGCTGCCAGTCAGCCACGCAATCATGAAAACAAACAACAACTGATACTCTACAGCCTGCTGTGGTCTCAGTGAGTTTTGAATATCACATTTTATATTTTCGCAACCATCAGGTCTATAAAATGCCCATCTGTGTGTATACATGAAATATTCAACACTGTATTATAAAATAAGCTTTGTGCTAGATAATTTTGCCAAACTAACGTAGTGTTTTGAGCACGTGTAATGTAAGTTAGGCTAAATAGGATACTCAATAGGTTAATTGTATCAGATGCAATTTTTAAAAAGATTTATTTATGTATTTGAAGGGCAGAACCACAGAGAGGCAGAGGCAGAGATAGATAAAGAGTGAGAGGGATAGAGAGAGAAAGAGAGAGAGAGAGAGAGCTTCCATCTGCTGGTTCACTGCCCAAATAGCCATAATGGCCAAAGCTGGGCTGACCTGAAGCCAGGAGTCAGTAGCTTTATCTAGGTTGCCCTCACGGGTGCAGAGGTCGGAGTACTTGGGCCATCATCCACTACTTTCCCAGGCATGTTAGCAGGGAGAAGGATCAGAAGTGGAGCAGTTGGGACCTGAACTGGTGCTCATATGGGGTGCTGGCACTGCAGGCAGCAGTTTTACATGCTATACCACAATGCAGGCTCCTCAAACGCATTTTTTATTTCTGATCGTTTTAACCTATGACACATGTATCAGGACATAATCCCATCCTAAACCAAGGAGCATCTGAATATTTATTTATTTATTTAATATTTATTTTTATTTATTTGAAAGACAGAGTTACAGGGAGATGTAGAGACAGAGAGAGAGGTCTTCTATCCGCTGGTTCACTCCCCAGATGGCCGCAAAGGCCAGAACTGTGCGGATCCGAAGCCAGGAGCTTCTTCTGGGTCTTCCACATGGGTGCAGGGGCCCAAGGACTTGGGCCATCTTCTACTGCTATCCCAGGCCATAGCAGACAGCTGAACTGGAAGTGTAGCAGCCGGGACTAGAACCAGCACCCATGTGGGATGCAGGCGCTTCAGGCCAGGGCTTTAACCCGCTGCGCCACCGTGCCAGCCTACATCTGAATATTTATTTCTGATTTCACCTCAGTGTGATATGTTCTACTCTAAACCATCCCTCCTCAGAAAGCTTTCCTGAACCATCCTTACCCGTCAGCTACAAACACACCATACAACAAGCTAATCCCAAACTGAGTTGTTTAAAACAGGCCTTGAGCCTCATGGATCAATGAGTTGATCATGGATCCATCTTCGTGGACTGGCTTTTTTAGGTTGGACTCTGTTCTGTGAGCCAATTGTGCTCTCTAGGAGAAATCTTGTTAGCAAGATAGCTGGGGCAAATTCTTTTCATTGGGATGTCAGAGACCCAGGAGAACAAGAAACCCAAGATGCTGGCCAGAAGTCAACAGATAGAGAAATGCAAAGTCAAGAGACTGCTTCTGTAGTTGAAAATGCTGCAATGTTTCAGGCCACTTACGGTAAGATATCCACAGGTTTTGGAGATTGGGATATGGACATCTTGGGGACATTGTTTTGCCATAATACTATCCCATGTGTCATTTTATTTTGGCATTTTAATTGCTTTTCAGTGCTATTTTACTGTGGTTTTATTTGGGTGTCCCCAGTGATGAATTATGTTGATCATTTCTACACATGCAACTTGTGCTCCAGGCAATCTATATATATATATATATATTTTTTTTGGTGATGGGTCTGTTCAACACTTTTGTCTAGTTTGTATATTGGGTTTAAACTCTTAGTCTTAGTGAGAGTTCTTTACGCAGTCTGGATATAAATCCTCTACCAGATGCATGAACTAACAATGTTTTTGCAAACATGTGGTTTGTTATTTTCATTCACATAAGAGTGTATCTCAAGGATTACATGATCCTAATCTCAACAAAATAAAGTTTGTACTTTTTTATTTTATTCGGTCATGTTCTTACATAATATCCAACAAAACTTCACCTGCCTAAAGGTCAGGCATACTGCCTCATTTGTTCTGTTTTAGAGTTTTCATAGTTTAGCAGATTTAGTAGATGGGTGGTTCATTTACAGATAATTTTTGAATGGGGTTAAAAGTATGGGCCAGGGTTTCCTCAATTTTGGTGGGGGGGGGGTGTTGATATTCAATCATTCTAGCCATTTGTTCAAAGCACTATCCTTTGTTAAATTGTCTTTCCACCTTTATCAAATGTCAATTCACAACGGATGTGTGGGACTATTTCTGTGTCCTTTATTTTCTCCAATATACTGACAGTGTAAATTGCATTATCAGGTAGTGTGAACACAGTAACTTTGTTCTCTTTCTGAATAACTTCTGGATATACTAGTTCATCTAATTTTCTGTATGAATTCTAGACTCAGCTTGTCAGCTATGTATAGAATGACATTTAACTATTGGCAGATTGCCACTGCTTCTTGGACCTTGGCAAACTGGCTTATTTTAATAATTTCATAGAGATTCTTTGGAAATTTCTACAAAAATTTTTTGTCCATGCATACACAGTTTTACTTTTCTCATGAATATGTACGTTCTTCCACGTTTTTTTCTTGAAGAAGTGCCCTGTTTAAGACCTGTAAACAACAACAACAAACAAGGTGAATAAAACTGTGAGTCCACCCTCAGAGGCAGCAGATGATGGTTCATGTAGTTGGGTTACTGACACCCATGGGGGAGATCTGGATTGAGTTTCTGGCTCCTGGCTCCCGGCTCCCATCTTGTCTATCTCCAGGTTTTGCAGATATTTGAGAAGTGAAGCAGAAGATGGGAGATCTCTGTTTGTCTGCTTCTCTTTGCCTTTCAAATAAATAAAACAATTTGATTTAAAACATGATAAGAATATATATCTCTGCTGGCACCATGGCTCAATAAGCTAATCCTCTGCCTGCGGTGCCATCACACTGGGTTCTAGTGCCAGTGGGGTGCCGGATTCTGTCCAGGTTGCTCCTCTTCCAGTCCAGCTCTCTGCTGTGGCCCAGGAAAGCAGTGGAGGATGGCCCAAGTGCTTGGGCCCTGCACCCACATGGGAGACCAGGAAGAAGCACCTGGCTCCTGGCTTTGGATCAGCGCAGTGTGCCAGCCGCAGTGTGCCGGCCGCAGCAGCCACTGTGGGGTGAACCAATGGAAAAAGGAAGAACTTTCTCTGTCTCTCTCTCTCACTGTCCACTCTGCCTGTTAAAAAAAAGAATATATATCCCTAGATTGTTCCCCTTTTTTAGAGAAAAACACTCATCTTTCTCTGTTGCACATGACATTTAGTGTAAATTGTTTTGTACACAGTTTGTGCCAAGTTGAAGAGTCTCCTTCTATTCCCAGCTCTTTGAGAGTTTTTTTGTAAATAGATACTGAGTGCTGTCAGAGACCTTTTCGGTATCTATGGAGTGGGTCATATGGCTGTATTTCTTTTGTCTATTTACGGGAAGAATTGTGCCCCCATTTTTACCTGCACACACACATGGATGCACGTCACATTTTAAATGATACAATGACACATAATAATTATACATATTTAGCAGGTATGTGATTATATTTCAGTACCTGTGTGTAACGTGTAATGATCTGGCTAATTCTGTTGAAAAACTGCAAGTCAAAGTCCTTACCCTGAAGTCCTTCAGAGCCTCTCCCCGGCCTGCATGATGAGCTGACTTCTCCAGGGAATCAGGTTATACCCACTCTCGCTCATCTGGCTCTCCCATCTTTCTATGCTTGTTTGCAGCTTCTTGTCTAATAAATTCATCATCCTCACCACTTCTGCTCGTGTATGCCTCCTACTTTCCGTATTTAAAGGATGTTTCTTACAAGCTATGTAGTTGAGATTTTGCTTTTTAAATAATTTCATCAGGGAATTGACTCTTTTTCTCCCAAATATTTATTTATTTGAAAGGCAGAGTTACATTGAGAGGAGGAGAAATACACACACACACAAAGAGAGAAAGAGAGAAAGAGAGAGAGAGAGAGAGAGAGATCTTCCATCTGTTGGTTCACTCCCAAATGGCCACAATGGCTAGGGATGGGCCAGGCTGAAGCCAGTAGCCTGGAACTCCACCCAATACTCTCATTTAGATGGCAGGGGCCCAAGTATTTGAGCCAACATTTATTGCTTTCCCAGGCACATTAGCAATGAGTTGGGCCAAAAGGGGAGCAGCCAGGCCTCTAACTGACACTCATATGAGATGCAGGCATTACAAGTGATGGCTTAACCCACTGAGCCATATGCTGGCTCAGACAATTTGTGTTTAAATGGTTGATATTATTAATATATTTAGTATTTAAAGTGATTACTGACACCATTAATTAAAATCCATCATCTTTCTAGTTATAATTTCTCCCATTTGCTATATATATATATGTATATAATATGGAAATATATATTTCCATCCTGCCTTACTGGGACTCACTTCTGCATTTAAACAAGCATTTGTAAAATTTGGATTTATATATATTTAAATATCTTTCTTTAAAGATTTATTTATTTATTTGAAAGTCAGAGTTACACAGAGAGAAGGAGAGGCAGAGAAAGAGAGAGAGAGAGAGATCTTCCATCAACTGGTTCACTCCCCAATTGGCCACAACAGCTGGAGCTGCGCCAATCCGAAGCCAGGAGCCAGGAGCTTCATCTGGGTCTCCCACATGGGGGCAGGGGCCCAAAGACCTGGGCCATCTTCTTCTGCTTTCCCAGTCCACAGCAGAGAGCTGGATGGGAAGTGGGGAGCCAGGTCTCGAATCGGTGCCCATATGGGATGCCGGCGCTTCAGGTGACCCAAAGGCCATGAGCTCTGGAGGCACAGGGCTACAGCAAACCCCCTCCTGCAAGAGGCCAGAGAAAAGAGAAGGGTGGGTACAGTGTGTCCCAGGCTTTTAGCCCACTTCCAAAGGGGAGTGGTTAACTAACCTGATTGGCTGGTGGGCACCCAGGTGTGGCCAGGTAGGGGCCTGAGGTCACTCAGGGGTGTGGTGAAGGAGTGGTCTTCCAGCTCACAAACCTAATTAATTAATTAATTTATTTTATTTTACTTTTTAAATTTTTTTTAACAGGCAGAGTGGACAGTGAGAGAGAGAAAG